TAGATCATTTTGAATACACTTAACTAGCACAAGATCCTCTTTTTGTTTTAAATATATGCCCTGGAGGTCTTTATATTTATTAGCAATATCAGAAACAGTTTTATGCTACTGCATAATGCTTTCTCAAGTTCTGATTCACGGATGCTACCAAGCTGATGACCAAAATGGGCATTTGTAAGATATATATATGGCGTAATTTCAAAAGATCCAAGAGTGCCATATTATGAGAATATTTGGTTTAGCTATATTCCTCCTGAAAGAATTCCAAACGTGAAATCATTCTTACCAGAAAGGAGCACTATTATTATTTTTGAGGATTTGTGTGTTGCCCCAGAGTATATACAAAATCAAATTATCCCTTTCTTTACTCACAGGCGCCACAGGAACATTTCACCTATTTATGTAACACAACGTTATCATAAAGTTCCCATTATTATTCGAGAAAATGTCTCCCATTTAGTGATATTTAATGGTGGTAGTAGTGCTCACGATATCTCCAAAATTGTTGGATGATATACTAATGATGTAAAGGGTGCATCCATGGTTATTAATAGCTACCTCTATAAAGGTGAGTTTGTTGTATTTGATCTTAGTAGGCTGGAGGATGATCCTCTTGCTATTCGACTAAGGTTTGACACACCATTGAATTTACAAAAAGAGATAGAGGCAAGGCAGAAGCGGAAGAAAAAAAATATCTCAGCTAATTCATAAAACTTTTTAATACGCTCTCGCAAGCTCAGAGATGCAGAAATTGATTACCTTTGACACATCTATAACTGATAGTAGTTTGTATGTGATGTGTACTCCGAAAAGGCATCCTAGTAGATAGACTCAATTAAATATATTTATTCATTATATACTGTAGTCCGTTTACCATTTTCCTAATGCTATTCTTGAGATCACAATTGGGAAATAAAATTTATACATTAATATTTACTTGCAATATATGCAAGAAAATGTCAATGTAAAATAAAAATCTATGAAGTGTATATTTACATTTTTTTTTCATTTTCAGCTACATACAAATTTGAATCGTGATATTCCTTAATATAGGTTGATAAAGAATCGTTAAAAAAAATATAAATTGCTAAAAAAATGCTATAATCACTAGAGTCGGCTATAAACTATAAAGAGTAAAAAATGGTTAAAACCAACCATAACTACTATTCTAGTTTAAATCCTAAAGTTGTGCAGGCGTTAAACAATCTGCAATATAGTTATAGTGATAAAACACCAGAAATGTGGTGTTCTCGTATTCATTGTCTATTTAAAAAAACTTCTTGAATATAACTCAAAATACTTCTCTAAGAATGGATTTATTCAAATGATCGAAAGAGTATATATAGATGGGAAATTTAATGCTGAGAGACGCTCATTTCACATTTATTGCACTGTATGCGACTCCTTAGTTTTTATTTGCGAAAATACAATCGAATGTACAAATGATCACCTAAAGAACTGTATTACTGAAACTACTAATATGCATTCTAATCCTGTACAAAAGTATGTGAAAAAAGAGAAAAAAATATCAATGCTTAGCTCTGATGAGATTGAGGAGATTTACGAAAAATATTATTTTATATATAGTAAAGGTTTGAGCTATTATGATTATGATTATCGATATTCAAATAAAAATGAAATCAAGAAAAAGATTGTAGTTCGCATAATTAACAGTGTAACAGTTCTTCAACGGGCTTGGAGGACTTACAAGTTAAAACCCAAGACATGGGCAAGTCGAGTTTAGAATATTGTGAGGAATGATACTACTCCTGATGAGAAGAAGTTTTTAGGTATAACACCTCGCGATATAAGAATTCCTGATGATCAATATGTATGGTATGTTGATCAAAAAATTCTAGCTAAAGACATACATACATATCATCAGAAATGTCGATATAATAATTATACTTCACGTGAGTAGGCAAAAAAGAAGAAAGATCAGTTAAAAGCATGATAAGATAATGTAGCATACATAGTTACTTTTATAGTATTACATCAGCAAGGCTATAGAATCGTTTATTATGGTAGTTGGTCTTATATGTTAAAGTGGTTATCAAATCTAGAATATTACCATATTGACAAAAAATACTGGAATTGTGATAACAAAAACTTCGTTAGAAGTTCAGAATATGTGTAAAATGGCAGGCAAGTCTTATCCATATAATTCGCTAAAAATCAACTACTTCGAAACTGGATATATTGATATCTTGGGAGAGGAAACTAGTGTAGACTTTTTAAATTTGAACAATAATTGTGAGTATATGCACCGAGTTCTCCAGACTATAGATTCTCTATTAAAATAGCAGATGGGGACCACCCGTATAGTATAATATGCATTCATGTATCTATGAATACGTACAATAAATCTATTTACTTTTTCTACACATTCATCCAAATTGTGTCCTTTTAATCTCCTTAGCGGTTTCTGATTGAGTCTTATGCTAAAGAATATATATTCAGAAAACGTCTCATGAGATAATGTATAATAATTTATTACGAAGTTAAATAGAAGTAATATTTAAGATGGATACATTCAAACCATTTCTTATCTTGTAGCTCAGCGTTAAACGGGAAGCTTCCTTCCTCGCAACAAGATAATCATGATTTGACGATCACGCCCTCAATAATAGTAACAATGGGGAGGGAACAGTCAGATCCCAGGCCTGCCTCGAAAGGCAAAAACTGCCCCTAAGAAGAATATACTATAAAACTAAGTGTAATAAAAGTCAATTAACATACCTTTAGAGGAAGTGGTGTGTAGAAAAAAAAATAAATATAGTCAGAGAAAACTTGCTACGTAAGTTATCAGGGAATATAAAATTTGTAAAATTTTTTTATTTTTCATGTGACCTGACCAATAAAAAAATTGTGGACCCAAAATTTAGATCATGCCTGTCGTCAGTGCTTTTTCACTTTAAAAAATATATCGTTTTCGCGTCTGGTCTTTACAAATCACTACGCTACAGTACAATGGAACCTCGACTTACAGAATATCAATATGTTTACCAGCAATTAACAAATCATACATTAGTTACTAAAAATTTTTATTCGTATTTCGGTTATACTTCCTTATCAGACGGCATAGATGCACTTCGAAAATCGTTAGAATCATTACGTGACGATACTAAATTTGGTGACAATGTTAAGAGATATTTGAAGCGAAATGATTTTTTTACGAACGATAGGGTAGAACTTTATTTTGCGAGAAAAGTGAGAAAGGGTAAAGAAAAGATAGCTATAGAGACAACGTTAAACATGGCGAACCAAAGACTCGACCTAGCCACTGAAGTCGTTCACAAAAATGTACTTAATCATTTGGGTAAAGAAGCAAATAATTTAGGAGAAAATGAAAACGACGAACAAAAGGAAGCTAAATCAAGTACACATCTTGTCGAAGACTATAATAACAGCAATACGCAAACCAAAGATTTTCCATGTTACCTTGATGAAATCCCCCCCTCACGCTGAATACCCATATATGGGAAAAGATTGGATAATGGATGGTATAAACTTGAGCAATAATCTAAAGAGAATCGGTATAATTAAATGTGGCCATTTTAACTTTTCAGATACAGACTGTACATCACAAATAAGTGATGACCATTGGGACAAGATCATAATCCCATTTTTAAAAAAACATAAATTGAAAAATGCGTTTTCAACGGAAGATGACGAACAAATGCTAATAAATATGTTCGGAGAAGAGAACAAAAAGAAGCTCTTAGAACCAGGCAATCTGAATTTGATATACAGCTTGACCGATATCGAAGAGGATACCATAAAAGTTCTTGAAATTGTGAGTCGAATACGATTAGTTTTGTATCTTAAAGAATTTTCTGTTTGCCAGACCTTGACATCGCTGGAGAAAAAATGGCCAACATCTCTTCCTTCTGATCTATTGGACAAGCGATTGCGAGATATTTTATGGGCTTCTGAGCTTATAAAATGGGTGTGTCATCTTTGTCTTCCCTCTTGCTATATTACATAATAACAGTTTTTCTTGTAGGATCATGCAATGGCAGGATGGTACTTTTCTAAAAGAAATGAAAGAGCAATGGATCAAAACACAGTTAGCATCTCGGCTCCTCGTGCCACTGAGACCAGTAAAACCAGGCGAAATTGAATCAAACGCAGAAAAAATAGTCTCTAACTACAATAAAGCATTGACATTATCAAAAATAAAGTCAAAAACTCGTGTAGATGGACTTGATGATGATGAAGAATTTGAGAATGTTTGGGTTGAACTGAAAGGTGGCTTCGGTAATTATCATGAAGCTGAAAACCAAAACAATCGTGAGGATTTAGGCATATTGCTTAAAGGATTCTCAATAATGTCCGCAATGCAAGCACTTACGTTGCCAGAAGATGCAAAGAAGAACATTGGTGATCTTGAATTTTTCGGAATAAGAGGGATTGGAAATCATTTTCAGTTCTGGGGCAGTTTTCAGGCTTCCCAATATCTCATGTGCTCGTATCTATTAGGAGAATTTCGCTTACCATCATTTGAGGGAAGAGAGGGTAGTGGCATTCAAGATCTATTATATGCAATTAAAATTGTTTACTCATTCAAGGTATAGATTCGTTTTATTTTCAAGAGTTTGCTTAAGCTTTTTGTCATACCTAAATTGCTTACCAATATACAGGTAAGGGTGGAAGCCAGTAAATTAAAGTTTCACCAGATCAGAGCTCTAGCAAGAAGTAAAAGAATTTTTGAAGCTGACTCTTCGCCAATCAAAGCAAAAAGAGTTAGAGAACAACGAACTTATCGTTGAATCTTACCTTTTTCTATTTCTTTTCCTTCAATATAACCCTGATGAGAGTGATACTTGGTGACAGTCATACGAATTTATTCTTTGCAGCTAAGAATTATTAATAAAAATACAAACATCACCATTTTTTTCTTACACATCTTGTATCTACTATATCTCTAGTTTTATCCAATTCCTTTGAAGTATCTGTTCAATTCCTAATATAGAAATGGTATATAAAACTTTTATATCTGCCGTTACAGCCTAAGTCCCCTTAGTGTTCCTCAACGAATGTTATTTGACATACCGTTGTGGACTGGGTTGCTGTGATCCCGGATATTGCCATTACTATTTGGTATTGAATTTTGATGTATGCCGTTGCATCCTAAGTCCCCTTAGTGCTCCTCAACGAATGTTATATGCATACCGTTGTGGACTGGGTTGATGTGATCCCATACAATTAGTATATAAATATTCCTTTGAAAAATTGCCAATGATTTACATGTAAGATTATTTAAACAAATTTCTGAAGGGGTAAGTACAAAAAATTGAACTTTTTATATGCTCTTTTTAATTGTATTCCTAATGTTAGGGAAATGAAACGATAGCCCGGATCAAACCATTTTTGGCTCACCTATTTCGAAATTGATTTGGAGAAGATTGAATATGTAATTCCTAAAATATTATCACATAGCAATGAACCCGTTTCTGTTTTAATCAATAGCGTTTTCTAACACATGCTTACTGCGCCTGTGAACTCGAGTTCACAGATACGGATGCGATCAAAAACCAACATGTAACAATATAAAAAATATATTAATACATTAATAAAGTTTTAATTTCGATCTCATTGTATCAAAATGTATATTTATTAAAGTTAGTATGCTCTAATTATATCATGTATACGTTTTAATGCTGATGGATCAAATGAATAAATCGAATCTTTATTACCTTTCTTCCCGCTACTTAAATTGTAACACAATCTGCATCGTCAGGGGACCAGATACGGAAAATACATTAGGTAAATGTTTAACTGACAGATACAATGCATATATTATAATTTATGAAAATTATCACATTCATATTGCCTATATATTCCATCCGCCACTTTTTTGCATGTTTTGCAATACAGATGTGAATGGTGATTGCATTCGTCACAAACCCCTTTTTTCTCGCAAGCTCGAAAAAAAATGTATAGATAACTAATATTTTTAAAAAATCTACTAACTAGCTATTTGTGGCTTCGAGCAAGAATTGTGAGAAGGTGGGGATATGCCACTTTTCGACATAATTTTGTTTTTCTTTATTTGTATGTATGTTATTCAAAATTTTCATTTATATTTCTGATATTAACAGAAAAATAATATACTGATATATACGTAGCTAATCTATGATTCAAAATTTTTTTATACAAAACTGTACTTTGTATCCTAACAAATAAATTATGCATTTATGATAAGCTAAGATCCCGAGGCTCATATAAATACTGACACCTGAGGCAAATTTAGTCAAAATAATAATGATAACAGAAAAAAAAATACTATCATACAATATTTGAGGTAAAATTTGTTTTTTACTTAAATAGATTAGTTACATGATATAATATAAGGCGCAGTAGTCACGTGATGATCACATGTGGTCCCGGAAATTCTACGGACAGAGCTTAAGGACAGAGCAGAATCACATGATACTGTATTATTAAAATCCATAAACCTTAACCACTAACTAACCAATCACATAATTATGCTCTGTCCTTATCTGTTCCTAAGCTTTGTCCGTAGAATATTTGTGTGGGACCCACGGTCTCACATGTAACTAAAGTGGTTTTCTATAATTTGGATTTGTGTAGCAGTAAGCTTCGAAATTGTATTTGCAGTATAAGATCTAATTTGTTTGATTTTATTTATTCTAATCTTTTGAAATAACTTGTAAATCTTTATGGCTCTTTGTGTTTTTTTACGCAAATTATCTTTTGCATTACCCAGAATAAGATGTTGTGATATTTTATTATAAACATGGTTTCTAGCAGTTTGATTACTAACTCCTTCTTATTTTTTACAATATCATCGATTCTTTCCTCATATTCTTTTCCATAATGGTACCAACATGAAATTTCCATGTTTCTGTGCTACATGCTTTTTGGTATAAATGAACTAAATTTTTTAATATAGAACTCTCAAAACCCTCTACAATATCATCATTAGTTTTAGCAGACTCTCCTTAATAGGCATAGATAATTCTTTTAACAAACCTTGCAATGTATTCTGCTTATGAAAAATTTTTGGAGATAATTGTCTTGATTGGGTTTGTACATGACTTTCAGTGTTATCATCTAGAGAGGTTTGATCTTCTAACTAAACTTGTGAAGTGACAATAGTATTTCTTCCATCAATAATAGAGCTTCTTGTCTAGTCTTGCATGGAAGATTTATCTACCTGTTTCTTTTGGCCTACAATAGATCTATCATCCTCAACTAACTCTAATTCTCTTATATACTCCAAAACATTATCATTATTCTCTATAGTATTTGTATTTACTTGTGATGCTTTGTTTACAAAGTCATAGTCTTTGCATACTAGATAAAATTCATCACAAGCTGTACAAATTCTTCTCTACAGTAATTATTTCTATAGATTTGGAACAAACTAGACATTTGGGGCTTCATAATTCTGGGTGTATAATATGTTTTTCAAGGCAGGTTCGGTGAAGTATATAATCACATGATAATATTGTGAATGTTTGGAGTAGGTGTATTAGAATTTCTCCTTTGCAAATATGACATGGATTTAACTTTGGAATATTCTTAGCATCAGGGATTTCAGATATGGAGGTAAGTCAGTAAAAATGCATCATATTTTTTTTAATGAAATTTTTTTGAATCTTCAAACAAAAATAACTCAGCAAAAACTTAACCAAATTTAGTAAAA